TTTTTTTACCGTTATTTCACTATTCTTCTCTTATAGGTGGACCCCACTTTTCTCCTAATGGTCAAAAAATCAATTTTCAAAATCACTCCCAAACAGGCTCTGAATTTTGTTTCAATTTGATCACCACTAACAATTTGATCACCATATCTAATCCTTTTCCCTTGTGATAGACATATTTTCTTACATTGAGCATTTTTATGTTATTTTTTTATATTGGTTGGACAATTATGCAAACTTAAAGTTTCAAAATGAAAGTCGTGCTATTAGATGCCGTTTTTAACATAGTGGATTAAGGCACTTACAAACCATATAAGGCAATGCGATTTCAAGAAGAACAATATAAAAGAATCCTAGTGTCCAACTCGTGAAATGTTAATATATGCTAAAATTGTATCATTTTCAACTTAACTATTTGAATATAGTGATAAACCCACGATGAAAAACCTTCTACTCCTGTCGTATGATGGTTAATTTCTATCATTTTTGTTTCGTGTAAATTAACATAAAATTTAAAATCTACAAAATTATAGTTGACTTCTCACTATCTCATTACCGTTTACTCTGTAAAAACATGTAACAGGGTAATAGGATTCAAACTTGAAACTCTGCAAAAGGTTCTATTCATAAAATCACATTACGTAAATAAAATATAAGTATGGACCAATTTTCCCAAAAATCAATAGTTTAGGGATTTGAACGTCAAAAAAACTTTCCAGAACCGAAATGTAATAAACATCATAGTTTAGGGACCGAAGTTGCAAAGTTCCCCTTCGTTTTATATGTGAATACTCGGGAGCGTTGGCGTAGTTTGCTCATTATCCAATCTAGGGTTTCATTAGATTCTCTCTGTCTCTCTCAATCACTGTTGAAGAGGAGCTCATCTATAATCAATCATCTGCAGATAATCATGACCGGGAAGGCTAAGCCTAAGAAGCACACAGCAAAGGAATTAGCGGCTAAGTTAGACGCTGCAACCACCAATCGCGGCGGAGGTAAGGCGGGGCTATCTGACCGCTCCGGTCACGATAAGGGCGGCCATGCCAAGCTGGAGTGCCCGCTCTGCAAGGTTACTGCACCCGACATCAAATCTATGCAGATTCACCATGATGCCCGCCATCCCAAGATCCCATTCGACGAGTCCAAGCTCAACAACCTCCACGCCAGCACCGTCGCCGACACCTCCAAGCCCAAGCCCGGCATTCGCGGTAGCTTGAAGAAGTGAATGTGCTCCGCCTGCTACTCTCGACGTAATATCATACTGCTATTGTTAATCTTTTACTGTCTTGTTACGGCTACTGGCGTTTTCAATAATAATTATATTGTGAACAATGTGCCATTACGGCTTTGTGTTGCTCTAGTTGTTTATTCTGGTGTTTGGTATTATGAATTTGATGTCAGTTTATATTATGTTGGTGAAAATATAGCTATTGCTCTGTGCGCATTATCTATTTATTTATCACAATTTTTCTTTATCTTGTCAGGAAGGAAAGCCAATTTTGTTATAACGTTGTACTTATGATAGGTAAAGTGATAACTGAAAATTCGCTCTCGGGTTAATATCTTTTTTCCTATTATTGCTACTATATCATGTGAACTCCAGCTTTTGTATATATGGGTAGGTCCATTTTCTTCTTTAATCGTTTGAAAAGTGTTATTGATCCGAGTCATCGGCTTTGTATTCATGTTGTTCTTAATTATGCTAATGTCTGTGTTATGGTTGAGATAACTAAATTTATGAGTGGATATTTGTTGTTCTTCAAATGGAGTGTTAATTCGCGCTGATAAGAGTTGGAATTGCTGTCAGGGTCTAATGTAGTTAAACTTGTTTGGTTTATCATGGTCGAGTGATTTATGACTCAGTTCAAAAGAATAAGAACACAAATAAAAAGACATGTAGATTGTTGGTTTGGTGAGGATAGTGTTCTTGATTCCTGTTCTGGTTATTTTCCAATTATTTTTCTTACATGACATATGCTAACAGTACCTGTATTTACTATTTAGGATTATAGTTTCTTCACTTGTCAAAAAGAGTTGTGGTTGACTGTGCATATTTTAATTTCTACGCTTATTAAATTGATATAATTTGCATTAATATGAGATAC